ACAGTTCCCATCTTTAATTATAATAATTATCAGGCTTATCAGACTTATCAGATGGATCCAGTAAATCCTCAAAATTATCAAAATCTTAAGAATTCTATAAATAAGTAAAATCAGAAATTATGCTAATCTTCTAATTTTATAATCAACATAAAATTAATTTTGGTAACTTCTGTAGATCATTTGATAATTTTTTGTAGACTAACTTTTCATTAGTAAATTTTTAGTTGGTAATAATATACAGTAACCCTTAACTTTAGAAAATAAGTAATATAAAAGGTTCAAGATTTAAAAAAGTTATCTATTTATCATATTAAAAATCTCTTATATTGACATTAATTTGAAAACTGTTTTATCATATTAATCAGAAATGGGATTGATATATGATAGATCTTTAGTATAAGAAGTTATTCAATTAGAAGGTGGTTCTTTAACCAGATTATTTATTAGGATATAAGTTGATCATGAAAGTTAACATTAACTTTATTCATTTAATTATTTTTTCTTTGATATCTTTATATATAATAATTATAATAAAATATTACTTTAAATATATAATTAATACTAGTAGCATATTTTTTTTAAAATTAATATATGCTAATAGTATTTTTCTTTGAGATTAATGCTTTAAAAGTATTTTTTCAAAAAAAAATACTTTAGTAATTTTATGCTCTAGTAACATTTTTTTAAAATAATACATTGTAACAATTTTTTTTGAGATAAATGTTCTAAAAGCATTTTCTTTTTAGAAAAAAATGTTTTAGAAATATTTTGTTTTAAAAAATAGCTTTAGAAATATTTTTTTAAGAAAGATCATTCTGAAAACATTTCTTTTGAAGAAAATATTTCAGAAAAATTTTCAATTACTTCAAAATATTTTTTTAGACTTTGTTAATAATATGAATCAAATGAGTAAACTTATTTAACTTGTAAGCTAGCTCAACTTATCATATTTTTAACTCAAGCCAAGCTGAGTTAAATTAAAATAAATCAGTTCAATTTAAGCCAATTGTTAAACTAACTCAAGCTAGTTTTATATAGAATTTTATATAATATAAAAGATATAAAAATAATATAAAATAGTACAAAGTTTATACATCTCAAAAATAAAGTAAAAAATAAGAAATGAAATATTTGAAATTAAAAATAAAATAAAAAATAAAAAAGAAGAAAGAAGAAATAAAAAATAAAATATTATAGAAACATAATTAAATTAATTATAATAAATAAATGATTATTCATCATATAATATAAATTTTTATAATCAAATAATAATAATAATAAATAAAAAATTTTAAAATACAAAATTAATTAATGATTTTATCTAAAATAAAAAGTTACAATTTAGGTTTTCCTAATAATAGTAATTAACAAATTATAGAAGTAAATAAAATGTTTGCTTATATAAAATCTTAATTATAAAATTATAAATTGAAAAATATTAAATAATAAATTATGTTATTCTAATTAACTCCTAAAGAAAATTAAGTAAAGATAATGTTAATTGTAATTATATTAATAAATCAAAAAAGTATAAATAATGTTAAAACTATTAAACTTAATATATTATAAATTTGTAATATCAGGATTATGACAGTTATATCAGTTTGTTTATATAATTTCCTATTAAAAATCTAATATTTATTTTACATATAACTTTTATTTATCTAATATATATATTAATGTAAGTATATAAATGAATATATAACTATGTATCAAAATAAATATTATTGTTAATTGATTATCTTAAAAATTTTTTTTTTTATGTATTTTTTTTTAGCAAGTGGATTTTTTAACTATTCCTTTAAGAAATAGTATAATTTTATATTTCTTTTTATATATATTAATAGATTTTTAAATATTTTATTACTTATATAAAAATATTAATCATATAGGAAATGATCAGTAAAAAAGGGAAAAATCTAAATTTTGATCAAAATTTATATTATTGGACCACTTGGCTGATCTCGATCATATGCATTAAATTAGCTTAATAATTAAAATTAACAAAAATTTTGGATTTTTTCCTTTTTTACTAACCGCCTCCCATATTATTAGAGCTTGATTATTAAAGCAAAAAAAATACTAGACTTATATCAAGAATGCTAAGTAGTTAGCTAAAAGATTTAAATTTATAAAATTTATCAAAAGAATTTAAATATAGAAAAATTAATATATGAGAGCTTTGCAATAGAAAGGAAGGAAATTCTAAAAAAATTTTTTTTTTAAGTTAATGTTAAATCTAGACTTATTTTACAAAAAAATCATAATTAGCTTAGAAAGTAAAATTTTAATTTTTTTAGAATTTCCTTCCTTTCTATTGCAAAGCTTCTATATATCAGTTTATAATGCAATTTAAGAGTATTAAAACTCAGAATGCAAAAAAATAAATCAATTATAAAAGAATATAAAAAGAAATTGAAATGTAAAAAAAATTGCAAATTCTAAAGAAATTTTTAATAAGAAATTTATGATAAAATATCAACTTTCTTTCTTGAATAAATTAAAGCTTAATATTTTTTTTAAAAAATATTGAATTACAAGAGGCTTAGTATTAATTTTATAGTATTAACTAGTATAAAAATATTAAAAAGTTAAAGGATATTATTAATCACAATTATTAAAAGATGCATATGCTTAGATAATATTCTTGAAATATAATATAATCAAAAACTGAAAATTGTTATTTTAAAAAGAATACAAAATTAAGAAACTCATTGATAAAATTGATAAAGCATTCAAAACTTTTGACTCTATATTCAAATTGTAGATAAATATCTTAAAATTGAATGTTTGAACTTTGTATTTTATTTTTTATTACTATATTAATAAAGCGAAAATTTACCTATGATAAACAAATTTTTATACTTTTATAATATATTTATACAGTATATTTAATAAATAAAAAAAATATATATACAAATTAAAGTTTTTGAAAATATATCATTATTTTCATTTTATTATCAGAAAGAAATAATAGGAATAATATATAAAATATATAAATAAAAAGCTTTTTATTAATCCTTTATAATATAAAATTATGCAGTCTTAATAAATTGGATAATAAAACTTATATTATATAAAATTATTGAATATAATTCACTTTCTCTTTTCATTATTCATAATAAAACTAAGCTAGTAGTAATATTAGATTATAAAATGATAAGTAACATACATGATATATAATAAGAAAAGAAAAATACATGAAGCATAAAAGTTACTTGATATTATATGAAAATCATAACTAAATATTATATTTAATCAGATTATAATTGAATATTAATTTATAAATTAGTAATTGGATTATAATTAGATATTAACTGATAAATAATAAATAGGTTTAATAATGCTATTTGAAATGTTAAAACTGTAAAACTAATATTTGAAAAAAGTCAAAATTGATAAAAATTGATAAAATTTAAAAGCCTAAAATTGGTAAAGCTAGTTTAGGATAATGAAAAATAATTTTGATAAGTATAATTAATTAAATTATTAACGAGTAATAGTAACAAATCTTAAGTGATATGCTAAATTTTGATATAATTTTATCAAAGTCAATTATACTGTCAGAATTAAGAATTAAAATAAATATAAATTATAATTTTAGTATTTGTATTAATAAATTATAAGTATTTTTTATATTTATTATAATTACTATGTAAGTTTATTTGATAAAATCTAAAAATCTAAAAAATTTATTAAATTATTTATTAAAAAAATTTATATTATTTAAAAAGTGATAAAATTCAAAAGTTTAAATGTTTAATCAAATTCAAAATAGGTTTTATATATAAGCAATCTTAGTAATATAATTTTAAATTTTAAATTATTTTCATAAAATAAAAATTATTATGTTAAAATTATTATAATAAGTATTTTATCTAAAAAAGATAAAACTTTATAATAAGATTATATAATATATCACTATAAACTCTGAAAGACCTCAATTTTTTTTTGGATTTTAATATTTATTATTAAAATTTGTATATATATAAGAAGTTCACAGAAAAATCTATTAATCAGATTACAATTGTATTATTGCTTTGATGGTATTTATTTTAATTTTTAGAAAGGATAATGGTTAATTTGAGGTTTCTATTCATAATTTCATATGCATTAAGTTATTATGATTGTATATAGTGTTATATGCGATATTCTCGAAAGGTTTATAATTTATATTACGAATTTCCGTTGTATATCCATGATGCTAAATGATATAAAAAAGAATTAACAAAGAAACAAAAAACAAGGTAAACCTACCTTATTTTTTACTTCAGAGTTATAATTTTCCGTAAAGTACCATCTTCGCGATTCAGATTTATTTATTTATTTATTTTTTTTTTTGGTAATCTTTGACCATTAATGGACGGACGGAGCAAGACGGAATGGAATGGACAAGACGAACAAAACGAACAAATGACAAATTTTAACAAAGTTATAATACCAATTTCATTACCATGATTCATTTCCATGATTTTATCCAAAGTTCGGTGTTATACTCACCGTTTTGGGGATTGAACAATTTATAAATATCAAATATTGAGATTGTATATGTATATGTGTATATATATTATTTTTTTTTTTTTTTTGTCTTTTGAGGTTCCCATTCAACACTTACCCCACACTTACCCAACAAATCAATAAAAAAGAAAAAGAATTAATTTTGCAAAAGCAAAAATAAATGAAGTAACAAAATTTACCTATGATTTTACCTATTTATATAATAAACAAAATAAAATTGCGTTTTTTTTTTTTTTTTTTTTTTTTGAGGTTTTTCGACACTTGTCCTACTGAAAGCTTATCAATGAACGCATAAGCAAATAAGGAGATATTAATCGAACTTTTTTTTTGCAATACAAACCATCATTGCCTACCCGTCATTGGTCATGGTTTACATTCTCATGATAATCAACTTACCCTCCAGAATCGCCGCCATTATGAAATAATAATAATAATAATAATAGTAATATTATACTACTGCTTTTTTGTTTTTAAAAAATTTTTTACCTCCTTCTATCCCTACCTTTCGACCCATATTTATCTTTATCTTCTCTATATCGTCCCGGACTCCTTGAACGACTGCGACCACTACGTCGTCTACTATATTCTCGATCACGATCGTAACTACTTCCATAACTACCACTATGCCTACTTCCATATCTAGACCCACTACTACTACCAGCTTGACTATACCCTCCACCATTTCCTCCTCGAGATTGACCACGATGTTCCCTATCATGAGAAGAAGAAACTGGAGGTGGATGATTCGCATGAATTGCGTAACTACCTTCTCTACCTGAGTATTTCTGATTTTGTTCAGGACCTCCGATACGAGTTCCTCCAAGTCCACCACCTTATATTCATTTTTTTGTTATTAGTTTATTAAATATTCATGACAATCAGGATTGTAAATAAACATATTAGTAATAAACAATGTTTGAATAAAATAGAATATAACACTTACCTAGTCGACGAGGTCGCCAACCCTTAACAGTCCTTCCACGTTCTACATCAACCAAAATACGTCTGCCTAGAAGCTTAACACCATCTGCATCCTTATAAGCAGCTAGTAATTTTTTTGAAGTATGCGATTAGAGGAGATGGTATAAATACCGCAAATATATTATATATATATATATGAATCATACCTTTCATGTCCTTTTCTCTCTCGAATTCAATGAAAGCATAACCTCTTGGTTGGCCATCTTTTCTTTTCACAATTCTTACCTATATAAAAAAAAAAATATTAGGAAATGGATAAAATTATAAAATTGAAATTTTTTTTTTTAGAAATAATTACATTTTCGACAGGACCATACATTTCGAATTCTCGTCGTAAATCTTTTTCTGTCATTTCAAAAGACTAAAAAATTTTAAAAGGATAATAAATAATTTATTCATCAATTAAAATAGATAGATCAATATACAATACCATTCTTGCGACAAATAAAGTCTTGAACGGATCACCAGTGACATGTTCATCGTTATTTGGATCCCCTATTATGTGTTTATACAAATATTCAAATGAAATTTCTTATTAATTATAAGTTCGTTGGATGACCTTTTTTTTACCAAAAAAAAAAAAAATTACATTCTTCAAGCCCTTTTTTAATAGCTTCCTCTGCCTTTTGCTTTTTCTCGGCAAGCTAATGAAAGGTATAATCGATGCATCAAGAAGTTATGAACGGTTGAAATTAGTGCTAGAAAAAAAAAATAAACAAACGTAAGAAAATCCCATTAAGCTACTAACTTTACGTTTCTTCTTTTCTTCAACTGTCTCTGTTGGAACATAATCCGGATCATAAGCTTTCAGTAGGGAAATATACTGACCAACACCAGAAATTGTAGGACCTTTACGCTTAGCAGGATCGCGATCTAATGGTTTTGAATAAGGAAGAGGAGGTCGGGGCGCAAAAAGTGCCAACAAATTTGGTGGTAATTTGTCAGTCATATTTTGTAAATTAGTGATAGGGTTTTTGACGAACTTTATTCTGTTAATTATTTCAATCAGTTCTAACCAATCATTATGAACGTTAAGACCCGGGTACTATACATTGGTTAATAATAAATATTTAATATCAATTTTTATATAACTTTGTTTTTAATAATAATTCTCTAAACGTATAGTTAATCATTCAAATAATTGAAAAACATTTTCCTAATTTATATAGAGTATTTTATTATGTAAACAATCCTCCAAACTGACTTGCGTAAGCCATGGGACGAATATTAGGATGAGGCTGTCATAATTAAATACGAGAATTAATTTTAAAAAAAAAATAAGACAATAAATCTATATGAATTAGTAAAAAATTAAAGCATACCACAGCCTCAAAGGTTTTATAACTCAATTTCAAGTCTGGAGTGATATTAATTATAGCGCCCTTATTTCCGATCGTATCGCTAGCAACGTAACAAGACATTGTAAATCGAACGAATATTTGAAGCAGATTTATGAAGACAATAATTTTGTGACTAACCAGTAGTTTGGAGCTGAGAAAACGGTGATACATTTCCCGTTATGATCAATTACATATCCATTCTCTTTGACCTCATGACTTCTTATTAAGAGATCTAAGGGTATATATATAAAAATGAAGTTTAATATTGCTATTATTTCACATATCGTAAACTTGTGATAAAATAAATCGTACCAAGATTGTTGCGTTTCAAAAAGTTTTCAGTGACATCAGGTCCAAACTGTATTCCAACACCTCTCTTGCTCGGGCCTCTTCCAGGTAATGTTTGTGGATCTTGAAAAGCAACAAATTTAGACCTTCAAACAAACGTCATCTTATTTTTAGCAAAGCTGTTAACATACCAGACCACAACAATTCGCACATCAAACTTCCTTGATCTAATTGTTTCTTGTTGAATCTTTCGATGTTTCTTATATCGTCTAATGTGACGTCATCGCGACTAAACAAACCACCATGAACTACCAGAATTTTTTTTTTAATTAGATGGGCTAAAGGCAAAGTGCTAAACGTCGCGGAGAATAATTCAAACATTTGTTCAGAATATTTAGCTTTAACTTCTCCTTCAAATCCATAAACCTTGTTCATATCATCAGTCTCATGATTGCCTCTAGTTAGGTAAAGTGAGTTTGGGTAAAGACATTTATAAGCGAATAAGGTCAAAATAACCTCAAGGCTAAATGAGCCACGATCGACGAAGTCTCCGTTGAAAAGATACATATTCGTTTCGGATGGTACGCCGTTAATATTGAAGATGTTGATGAAATCATAATATTGACCTAGAACACAGTTAAAGTAAGCAGTTGGATATTCTTGACAGAAATCAAAGTAGATACAATTAAAAATCGATATTTAAAATACCATGCACATCACCACACACAGTCAATTTTGAATCTTGAGGTATAGTGATATCAACGAGTGAAGGCGTTTCCAACATGATCTTTCTGACTGCCAAAATGATCTGACCACAATTAAATGTTTACCATTATTCCAAATAAAGATATCAAGCAAAACAAAAAAAAACACAACGTGCAGAAATTCAAAATAACTCACTTGATATGCATACTTCCGGTGAATTTTCTTTTGATTTTTGAAGAATTCCATCATTCCATCAATGAATTCTTTCGAGATTTTCCCATCTTCGAATTTTGGTCCATCATAAGAAGGGTCCACCGCTATTCAAAATAATACATAGGCACATCAATAAATATCGAACTAAATTTATAAAAATTACTTCTTGACCTTAAATAAAAATCTTAATTCGGTACTTACTGATTGCGGTCAAGTCGATCGTTTCTGCTAGGTTCTTTTGCGAGGATTCTACCTATTAGATCAAATTTTTTTTTTTTAAAAAAAAAAGAGAAATTCATTCATTATATATATATATCTTTTTTTTTTTTTTTTTTTTTTAAAAAAAAAAGTATTATTCATAATTAACATAATAAAATACCTCGATGGCTTTCTCAAATTCGATTCTTCTCACGATCTTCTCGCATTCTGATAATCTTGTTCTGGCATCCTTGTCGCTGGGGGCTTTTTTCACAACCTGTCAAAATGGACAGGCTTCGGATTACCATGAATAATCATAAGATATATTGGATATAAGGTCTAGGTCTGTTTTTCAAATAAAGCCTCACAATTCGAAAATCCCGAAGCGCGTCTTTAAATTTACATAACGCCATATTTGCTGCTGCTCTTCGATAATATCCCTATTATATAAGGTATATTTAGCATACGAATTTTCAATCGCGAATGTTTTCAAAATTTTAGATAAAGGTTCACCTTGACATATGACGGATCAATTTTAACTGCCGAATCCGCGTCAGCAACAGCATATCCATATGCTTCGGTTTTGATATAGGCGAAAGATCGATTGGCATAGTATGCTGCAACGGTTGAATTTAGGGCGATTGCTTCCGAGTATTTCTCTATCGCAGCTTCGTATTTCCTGGCTAGATAATAGTCAAAAACAGATCAACTTGAAACATCTCGAACTCACATGACAAAGGAAAATTTCAAACCCTGAAATAATTTATTGGCAGCATCTTTAGCTTCTTCGGCTTTGGTTTTGACCTCTTCAGAACAGAGGACATTTTGATCGCCATTCGAATCGCTACTCATTATGTCGTGAAAGGTATTTTTGTTAAAGGAAACCTAAAAGAATTAAACAGATGAAAAAAAAAGAGATATATACCGAATTTAGCGTTCATTTAACATTCGTATGCTGATTATGTACAAATAAGTAAATATTTTTTCTAGAGATTTTCCAAATAAGAATTTTTAATTTCATGTTGAGAAGTTGTCAAAAAATACTAAACATAAAGTCAGGATTTAATTCGAGAAACCTTTATTCAAAGTTTTCAACAATGTCATCAAAGGTATTGCTAACTCGAGCAATACCATCAAAATCTCAAAAGATTTTAGAAAGCGCCAAGGATATTGAACTTATCCATTGGAATGAGGGAAATGTAATTCCACGCGAGAAATTATTGGAATTGGCGAAAGGTAATCGCGTTACAACTTTATAATTTGTTTAAAATTTCTTTAATTTACCGTTTTCATCCTTACCTTGAAGGTGTTGATGGAATTTTATGCATGTTGACCGAGAAAATTGACTCTGAGTTGCTTGACGCAGCTGGACCGAACTTAAAAGTAGTCTCCACACTTTCAGGTTGAAATTTTATCAATTGACTATTTTGGAATAACTTTGTTTTAATCTTCTTTGACGTTAAATAACTTTGGCCGAACAGTTGGATATGATCATGTTGATTTGAATGAGCTCCGTAAACGTTCGATTCCTTTAGGATATACGCCAGGCGTATTGACTGACGCTACAGCGGTGGATATTTTTAAATATTTTTTTTTTATTTTCCTCGGGCAGAGGCTTAATTTAAGACTTTTTCCTTTAAAAATTCAGGATATCACGGTAATGTTGGTGTTAGCATCCGCGCGAAGGATGCGCGAGGTAAATCGGGTATCATATATTATTTTTTTTTGTTTGTGATTTGACAAGTTATATAAATATGTATTTTACCAAGGGAATTCGAGCGGTTGAGAATGGTAGATGGTGCAAATGGGATCCAACGTGGATGCTTGGTATGGCTACTTTTTTTTATTTGACTTGGAATTTGTATATGCTTATGGCTATTATCTTTTTTTTTTATTACATCAGGGACACAATTAACAAACAAAACAATTGGAATTGTTGGGCTTGGTCGTATAGGCTCAGCCACTGCCTTACGGCTAAAACCATTTATTGGAAATGAAGGCAAGATAATTTACTCTAGTCGAACCGAGAAATCTGAAGCGGCTTCTATAGGTGCGATAAAAGTCGAATTTGACGTTCTTTTGCGTGATTCTGACGTGATCTGTATTTGTTGTGCGATGAACGAGGAGACGAATGAAATGTTTAATTACGAAGTTTTCAAAAAAATGAAGAAAAATGTGGTATGACATTAGATTCAGAAAAAATCACGATATTACATGATATTTAAATAATAAAATTGTACATTAGGTTCTTGTAAACACGGCTCGCGGTAAAATCATTCGTCAAGAGGATCTTTGTCGAGCTTTGTCAGAAGGGATGCTTGGTTCGGTTGGATTAGATGTGTGTACTCCAGAACCGTTGGACCAAAAAGATCCACTTTTGAAATTCGATAGAGTGACGGTTATTCCACATATAGGTAGCGCAACTTTAGAAACGCGTACGTTGATGGGAAACATCGCTGTTAAGAATGTTTTATCTGGTGTTAGGGGTGAACCGTTACCTCACAGCGTAAAATAAAAAAAATATTGAAAACTAAAATGGAAATGATTTTCGTGGAATTTAGATTGGCCTTAGATCGAATAAACAGAATCCAAATTGATCAGGGCTGTGAAACATAATTTTTTCTCGATTTTTGACTATTATATCTTTTAAATTGTCTTGTTCTATTATTTTGTCAAGTTTAAGTGAGGTGGAATTACCATTTTAAGGGACCATTACATAATAGATGTTGACAGTATTTTTGATGTATGTAGAGAATTTTTTTATTTTTAGTAAATGCTAAGTAAATGCAAATACATGTGCAAATATGTAATTATCTTGTATCTATAAATAAATCCCAATTTTCAATGATCCGAAAACCCGGTAAAGACCATCGAAAATTTCGAAATCTTTGAAGAAATAATCAAAACTTTTAACTACTATCAAAATATTAAAATGATCGAATCGACAAGACAAATCCAACGAGATTTTACATTAAATTTTGGTCACCGGGTCGGGAGACATTCTCCTTACAAAATAAAGAAAAAAATAAAAGTAAACAAAAGCCTTGGTCCGATTCTGAGTGGTCGCACAGAAGAAAATAATAAAAAAAGAACTATTATTAATTTTTTTTTTTGATGTCAAATGATCAGATGAATAATGTTCAAAGAAAAAAAAAACTTATATTTATATTATTAAATTGTAACACTATAAATATAAACGAGAACGACATAATTGAGGCTGTACCCACCCATATTTAGTTGCTTAATATATAAAATTCCTTTTAAGGGTCGATTAAATAAAAAAGTAATGTTCAAACTTTACCTTTCTAAATAAATATCAGGTGATCTGGTTGAGTGGATTTAAGCCCACCCATTTCCTCAATTTTTTCAATTTCTTTCCTCCTCCTTTTTAGGTTGAATCCATTTTAAATTGGGATTAAAATATATTTAATCGTTTATCATGTCTACTCAACCGAAGTCTGAAGATAAATTTGTAACGATAGAAACAAGTGAGGAAGAACAACGACGTAAAGAAGGGAAAGCCAAATTGGTTATTTTGATTATCATTGGCATTCTTACAGCTGCTTATGGGGTAACTTTTACAAATTATAATATTTGTGTATACATGAAAAATTGAACAAATTCTTAATGCGATGTCTTGTATGAATAAAGTCATGGAACGTTTACAGAATGGTTGTCGCAGTTCGTAGCCCTGTAGTTACCATGAGAACGAGTATAAGGTGAGGTAATTTTGAAAGGTTAAATAAAAAAATTTTTTAAATTAAATTAATGAACCCGAAATTTTTTAAAATTTAAAAGGCAGAATATACCGGTAAATATTTCTCACGTTTTTTTTAATGATAATTTTATAAGAAAAATATAATTAGATAAATGATTTTCCATTTCGAATTAGGTTCCAGGTAAATCAGATGTGAAACAAATCAAATAAAAACAATAACGCTATATTGATTTGCAACTTTTTTAAAAATTTAAAGGAATGGTAATTTGTGGCAAAATATTGGATTTACCACCAGAATGCTTTCAATCTGCATTTAATGTAAATTTATATTTCAATTTAATTTATCGGTTACAGTAATAATATCAAAAATTTTAAAAAAAAAAAAAATTTTTTTATTTTTTTTTTATTTGGATAGGCGGCGGATGATGATCATACAAAGGTATGTGATCTTTTAACCGATCGATCTGCAAATCTGCATGATAAGCTGATTATTTAACAAATTAAAAACAGGGTGCTAGTTGTAATCAACATTTAACAAATTTCAGTATGGACGCAACTTGTGAGCAAATATTTTTTTTAAAATATTAAATTAAATTATTATATTGTTTCAATTAATATAAATACTCTTTAATTCTTTATAAAAAAAAGCATTTGTAAACATGCGGGGTTACGATGAGCTAGAAAAACTTAACTGTTGTAAGTGTAAGAACCGAAAATAATATTTTAAACAAGAAAAATTAATTGATTTCATTGTTATTTTGCTCATAGATATTTTTAATCCATACCAGAAATTGAATGGGTCATACGGTGATAATGCTTTATATTTTGATAATTCTACACAAAAGGTGGCCCTCGCGCTATGGGCTAATGAAAATGCTAATAATACGGTAAATCATTTAAGTTATATGTGAAATTGCTCATCATTATTTTCATTTTATTGGGAAAATGATTTGTGACATTCCTTTTTAAATAGTTAGGTGCAATTACTCAGGAACGATGGTTTTTTTTTGGAATTTTTGCCGAGGTATTTGGCTATAAAAATGTTAAAATAAGAAAAATCAAATGAATTTTTTATTTATTTTTTAAATTAATTAATTTGATTTAGCGGGACGATCCAACCAAAGTTAAATTCCAAATTGTAAAAATGGTAAGTAAACCTATCATCATCACGTGACTTTTTTGAATTACTAAGTCGTCTTTTTTTGGTTAATTATAGCCTTCTATCAGTTACGTTTATTTCAGAAGAATAGAACGCTATGATGTTGTTCGATCAGGTAATTGTTCTTATTTCTCAAAATAAATAAATAAATAAATTATTATTAACCAAAAAAATTAATTTATCAGATGCCATAACTGGGGGTGGATCAGTTGCATCAGAGCTTAAACCAGATGCAAAAGTAGAATTTGATACAACATTTTCAAGCTTTTCTTTACCTGGATTTATAATCAGTCCAAATTTATGGGAAATAATTAGGTAAAATTTAGTAAGCGAATACTTCGTCAATTTAAATGATTTTAATGTTTCCATATTTGACAATTCCAAAAAAATTTAGAATCATTCCTTCGAATTATGTACTGAACCCGGAGTTCAACAAACAAGAGTATCCAGTCACAATATATTATAATCGTGTTGAATTTACGCTTCTTCAATTGGTAAGCAAAGTATTATTTTATTATTATTATTTGTTTCATAATAGAAAAATTAAAATATAAAATTGCGATGAAGGCGGCCAACATGGGAGGATTTGTTTCAATTTTAAGTGCTGCATACTTTATTTTATTCGGTTCCCGACGAGTTAATCCATGGGGATTAGTTCAACGTCATATACTTAAAAACGTTCCAGCTCCACCACCAGTATATGTACCAACGGTTAAACCTTATTCTGAAAAGACACAAGATCTAGAGAAAGGTCCTATGGAATTTCAATCACAACCAGAAGATCAAAATAATGATATATACCAACCTGCAACTTCAAGACCTTATGTACATGAACTTGATCTTCCCGTTCAAAATGTAAGCAGACATCAAGTCACAGGAGATCATTATACCCCCATGCAACACATGCAACAAAACACCACGGAATCTATAAGTCCAATTTACCCAGTATATCCAATTGGACCACAAGGGTCACAAATACCACCACCACCAATATCTCCACGAGGTTTGACGGGTAAATTTTCATTTCATTCAATCTGTGTATACGTTTATCACGGATTCACGGCATTAACATTTTGACACTTCAATTAGTACTTGAACAAGACATGGATGATCCTCGCATACAAAGGATTCGTCATGAACTTAAGGCTGAAGTTCAAATAACTATAGCGCGGGAATGTTAGTATTTGAATTTTCTATTTCACGTTTTAAAGTAAAATAGATGCATGATTTTAATATGATTCGCTATTTTATAGTTGCAAAATTACGGTTATTCTTAAGTAAATATTATTTAAAAGATGTAATAAAATCCGAGTGAAATGTACAACACCAATTATTATTTATTAATGGTACAAACATTATTTTACTTCATTATATAATAATCATTAATTAAGTAGCTAATTTACTGAATTTGAATTTTTTTTAATTTTTTTAATCTTTTTTTTTTTTTTTTTTAAAAAAAAAAAATTTAATAAAAAAAAAAAAATATTAATATTAATTATTAATATATTAAAAATACTTTTTATACAATAAACACTTCTCCAATACATCCTGAACATTTTCCAATTTCAAAATCACTACTGAACTGAGATGAATAATTAGGATATGCACTGTTCGACGGTGATGATGTTTGATGATCAATTTGTTGTATAACTTTATTATTGTTATAGGAATCATTCATACGTTTTAATTGAAATTCAAGATTTAAAGATTTTTGACGTTCTTTGAAAAGTTGTTGTTTAAGTTCTTCTTGACTTGAGAAATTAGAAATTTCTTCTGAATCTAATGGTTGATTTTCTTCATAAATAATCTCACGTGTCGTACCATTTGTTATATCCGCATCATTCTTTTCCTCTTCAACAATCACTTTCATTGATTCATGATCTTTATATAAATTTACTTCTTTTTCTAATCGATCAGCTCTTGATTTTTCTTTATCTACTTTTTCAGCAAGTTGAAATTTATCATTACTAATTTCTATAACTTTTTCTCTTAATTCAGTCAATTGAGCTATCAAATTGTGATTATCACTCGACAACCCGTCAATCTTAGTTGTAATATCCTTAATACGTCTAGTCAATTTTGAATTTTCGGATTGTACAGTTTGAAGTTCTTTCGAAAAATTATCACGTTCCAACTTTAGCTCTTCGATAACAAAAGCATCCGATGAAGCCTGTTCGGATAAAGATAACGCTTCAACTTCTTTTGTTTCAAGAGAACTCGACATTATTTCAACTTTTTGTGTTAATTCACTTCTCTCATCTGTCAAATGTTGGATCTCTTTAACCATCGACTCAAATTTTGCCTGGGTCTCACGCGACAGAAGTTCTGTTTCTGAAAGCTTTACTACATTTTCTGAAAAAAGCTGTTCCGTATTGGTAAATTTGTGTCGCAAATTAGATAATTCAATTTCCAAAGCTTCACATCGATCCACTTTATCCTGAAGAGTTTTTTGTAATGATTCTACTTCATCAGACACAGAACGAGCATTTGCTTTTTCTTGAGATAGTTGTTCAATGATAGAATCTTTGGTATTAAGCTGCGACATCAATTGTTTATTATCCCTCTCTAACTGTTCAACACGCATATTCTTAATATACATATATAAAAAAATGATTTGTTTTAACCTTTAAAAGTAAAAGTCGAAATTATCGCGTTTAATTAATTCATTAATTAATTACCTGTGATTGTAAAGATTCCAATATTTTCTCTCTTTGTTCACCGGCTTCATTATGACGATCTTCACCGCTGCGTATTTTTTCCTCCAATTCAGCATTCTGACGTCTTAATGCATCCACCAATAATTGACCTTCTTCCAATAATTCTTCACTCCTCTTATATCGATCTTCCATTGCAGAATATTTTTCCACTCGTGAAGTCAAAGCAGTCTTTTCATCAACTAACACAGCAATGGTCTGTTGCTGCATATGACATATATTAGCAACATCTTCAGGTGTAAGTGATTCCTCAACCAAATTAGTAACAGAAGGAACTACGGGGATTAAATCAATTTTATTTGATAAAAGGTTAGGTTGTGATTGTTGTCCATGTGGTTGAGAAATTGGTTGAAGTCCTTCTACTAATGAACTATGTGATCCTAGGCTTGTAGCTGAAGTGATTTGTGGAATATAATCCGAATAAACTCTGTAATGGTGAACATTTTGTGGTCAACCCAATATAAAAATAAATACCATGATAATTCCGACGAAATTTTATTTCAACTTTTTATTATTATTTTTTTTTTTCAAAAAATACGGTAAATAAAAATTTTGATAACTCACTTTGAATTTTGATTTTCACCTAAATCAGAATTGATACTTTTAGGTGCAGAGAAATTATCATTAGAATTTTCTACTATTGTGATCGGTCTAATCCATTTGAATTATTAAATATATTAGTGAATTGTTGAACACTTAAATATTTTTTTCAATTAAATTTGAAGTTAATTGCCATCATTAAAACAATTTATTATCATTGCTCCTGCAAGGAGTTCAGTCTTAGATGTTCTGTATGATTTTTATTTAATTAATCATATGGCAATCAAAAGTATTTATTTCTAACGAAAATTCAACATTGAACATACAGTATAAAGTATTGTAGATACTTAGCTACAACACTTTTTGAACTTTATTTTTTTTTAAAAAAAAAAATACGTACTCTTGAACTTTTCCATCATACTCTTGAACTTTTCCATCATACTCTTGCACTTTTCCATCAAAACCGTCAGCTCTGACACTTCCAGAATCCGATGCGACACTATTCCTTCTATCACCAGTGGGTGCAGTAGATTCAGAACTAATTTTACGCGTTGAGTTGGTAGAGTCTACCGAACCAACTCCTTTCTTCTTCTTCTGATACTTCTTTAGCTAAATTAGAGAGTGTCACTATTATAGTAGTTTCTTTTTAAGAAAGACATGCCTTATTTAATAATACCTTTTTCTTTGCAGCGGCCACTTTCTGGTCTCTTGCTGCCTCATCCATATTAATTTCGTTTCAATAATCAAAGCGTAATAATTAAATACTGACGTGAAATTATTTGATTGTTTTATGTTTAATCACGTGATTGATGCCGGTCAAAAATCATATTTGGATATGCATATATTTTACCATTAGTGATATATCAATGAATGGAAAATAGCCTATATATATCCAATTCTGAAACCAATGGAATGGAAGTATGATATCACTAAAATACGTCCTATCATCTTATTAGAAATACTTAGCAAAGCCTTTGTTAAAATCATAAATAATCAACTCTTAAGAATTCTTTCTAAACATAAGGTTCTTAAAGAAAACAATTTTACTGGATTGCTTAAAGGATTCACTGAAAACCTATCAAAATCATTAATATGCTATTGAAAAATACTAATGAGAATAAAGAGGAAATACTTTTACAAGATCTATTTAAGGTTTATGACTAAGTTGATCTAAAATTTCTTAAATACAGTCGGACCTCTATATACCGATATTCTATATACCGATATACTATTAAAAACTTTATATACCGATAAAATTTTATTTACCCACTATACTTGAGGTCATATAAATATCGGTATAATTTGATATAACGATATTTTTAAAAAAAATTTCTATATGTCCCGACATATCATTATATAGAGGTTTGACTATATACTTTCTATCGAATCAAGTTTCCAAGCAAATATATTGACTTAATGATTAATTTGTTCACTAATAGAAAAAATACTATATTTATTGCAGAAAGACTTATGACATTTGATCAGGAAAAAGCTATATCACTATTACTATAATATATATATCTTGATCACTTATTGTGTGAAATAGATACAGTCAAATATAAAGTCAAAATTTTTAAAAAAATCATTTTAACAAAATTTTATTAAGTGATCGTTATATCAAAAATCGTTATATCGAGTTCTGACTGTACATTTAATAAAGGTTATTTCATGTTTCATACTTGAATTGATAATATTGTTACATAAAAATCATTAGGATGATCTTCCTAATGTAGATCTTTAGAAATTATGTTAACCTTGTTAACTTCGTTTATATCATCTACCTCGTTTATTTAGTTAACTTGGTTTATTTATTTTATTTATTTTCTTTAGTTTATTTATTTAACTTAGTTTATTAATTATATTTAGTTTATTTATTTAACATTATTAACGATTATATATATTTTATTTTATATAAATATGAGTTGAGAATCCTTAGAGAGTTCAGACAGAGTTCACAGAGTTTACTGAAATAAAGACTTATAGGAATAGCCTAGATTAGTTTAGTTTGATTATTTAGAACATATGTATAGTATAGAAGCGCTGATGTTTGAAGCAGTACTCATTTGTTAGTATATATCAAATAAACTACTAATACCTATATTTTACCTAATCTCAACTATAAATTAAACCTTCTGCTTACTACATATATTACCCATCCGCTTATAACATTTAAGTAACATAAAGAACTGATTGTAACACTTGGTATCTTCTGCCAAAATTTTATTTTTGTTAAAAAAACATTCATGTTTGATGAACATTATTTGAATAATCGACAACACAATCAATTGCATATCAATTTTAATTTGAATAATATTACCGCATATCACTGTGATAAATCCTGCTACATTTGTTATTCTCCTGAACAAGTCACATCTGAACTTTTTCAACAATTTTGGAATTGGATTACTGCTAAGTATCCTGCAGTGACATTTATCAGATATTACAATGCAAATGTAATACTAATGTTATGGATGCTATTATTTCAACTTTGACTGATTAGAATTTTATAATATTTGGACCATTGGAACTGTCATATGTCAAGCCTTAAATGAAAAGTAAGGGCTTTGGGTTTTCACTGATCCCGTAAAAAAATCTGTGAAGGTTATTGCTAAACCTGATAAAAAAGCATGAAAATTTTTAGCAAATGATTCCAGATACCTGTAGGAGGTAGAAATTCCCTAAGGTCATAAAGTCTGATGAAGAGATCATTTGGCTAATGTAAAAAGAATTTTATTGGAAAAAATATAGAGATTTTATTTTTTTTATTTATTTTTATTTTATTTTATATATCACGTGGGATGATAACATTTGACAACATATGACAAATTACAAAATTTTTAATAAGCAAAAGTGCGATGATACACATTTATTAAATATTGGAAAATACATAATTTTTGAAGAAAACAAAAGATAAAAAGACATATAGAGAAAACTATTTTAGAAAACTACATTAACAACAAAAACATTTAGCTACAAAAAAGAGGAAGGGAAGCGTAGACTCATGAATAGCCAAAACATACGCAAGCGTAATTCAAGGTCAGCCGAAGCGTACGCTATCCCCTCAAGTAAAAATTAATAATATCTGATCATGAAAATGAACACTAAAAGAAGAATTATACTTAATCCACATGAAAGACGGCAAAATCTTACACAAAATTCATATTCTACACTTCGATCAAAAAGTTGCTGCATAATAAATCGATATTTACCACGAACTATTTCTAAAGTCTCTCATAATTCTTGAATTCATATAATTCTTATTTGAGATTTGTTTGGAGAAGATCCCTTTCTTGTTGGACTTGAAGGAAATCTTAATACAAGGTATCATAAGGTTCTTGGAGATCTTGGAACCTATTTTCAGTTTGAGTCAAAAAAGTAAAAAGTTCTATTAATAAATCACATGCTTGATCAAATTCGACAAAGAAAGTTTCTGTTTATTTCAAGGAAGTTGCTAACTGTTCTTGTAAGGTCAAAACTTCTTCATGACTCTCTTGACAACCTATAATTATCAAATATATATAGAAAAAGAAAAATATTAGTCTATGCACAACTTGACTAAATGAAACTAGTCTAATGAATCCAGCCATTTCTAAAACAATAGTTGCAGTTCAGGAACAGTCCTAATACAATAATTGCAGCTCAGGCATTTTACCAAATCCACTAGATAGCTTACCTTCATTACATATTTGTTCTCTTCTCTCTCTTGCATGTTCTTTTTGACAGTTCAACCAACCTCTTCTTTGTATTTGACGACGTGTATGAGTCATGTTACTAGTAACTGGAAAGAAAAATAAGATAAATATCTACATTAATACAGCACTTATATTAACTCCATTTTATTCCTAGTCTTTCGTCCTCAGAAAGTATCAGATGTATAGTGTCTCCTCAATACTTTAATAAACTCAAAACATCATAGTAACTTTAAGTATTATTCATTAAATCTTCAACAGATGGAATATATTTTATCAAAGAGAAATCAAAAACTTACAAACAGAAAATAACAATAATTTTAGTAATAGAAAAATTTCTTTTTGAAAAAGGAGAAATGCAAAAGGGGATTTTTATATTTGAAAAATTAACATGGAAAAAATTTAAATGACATGGAAAAATTTTCTTTTGCAGAAAAATAAACAAAAGGATATTAGTATCTATTGGTTGATGATAATCAACAAACCAGAAATTTGTAGAACATGACTAAATCTTATTTATAGATTGATAAACATGACAATCAAAATAGGATGAGCTGATTTGATTGAACAAAAATGATGTAATAATTTTAGAATCTACATAGATGCAACATCTAAACTTAATTTAGTATCTGTACATCTATTAGAAATAAAAAAGATAAATTAATACAATCTGATTGATAAAAATAAAAATAAAAATTACTTATTGTAGATGATCGCTATTTGGGTTTCTGAATGACGATTTTTCTTTTATTAGGATTTTCATTATCAGTTTCTGAAACCTCTAGGCTATAATATCGATTATCAGTTCGAACTGGTTGGAGTTCATCATTATAAATTTTTCCAACCAGATGGTCCTTTAATCTAATACATTTATCAATAGTTCTTGCTCGTCGTTCTCGTTTCTAATATTTTTTTTTTAAAAAAAAATTTAAAAAAAGTTATTTTAACAATTAATCTGACTGCTTTCTTATTTCATGATAATGTGCTTCCTCCTCCTTTGAAAGTCATTCCATTCATTTCCTTTCTTTCTTTTAAGTACTTCTTCTTTTGGTGTTGATGACATTCGTGAATGATGCGTTTTATTATGAAGTCTGATATTAAAAATGCTTTTTTATTGATTGATTTTTGTATAATCAGTATCATATGGTTATTAACTAACTTTCATTGACTTTCAAAGGTTCTGTTAACATCTAACCTTTGATTTTCAGGAAATCTATCAATGATACTGATTATTTCAAACCAATAATAAAAATGTAAATCAGTTAGTAAATAATTTAGACAAAATTTTTCAAATAATCAGACCTTTACATATATCCTTAAATAGTTGTGAGACAGTCTTTCTTTTAAATTATAATTTTTTTGAATTGCTCTTTCATGAGGTGTTTGGACGTAATAAGGTGTTGGCAAAAAAGCCAAAACCTTATAAAATCAATTTGATATTAGAACTAACGTCCCAAGGTTGATCTCGAGTACGTTCTACAATTATGTGGAAATTTGAACGTTCTAAGGATCCGGAAGCAAGATATCTTATTAATTTATTAGATAATATCATCCCGTTGGTTTTAGATTTTTATCCCATCATATTTCGTGATGGAGATTGGCAAGCATACATAGAAGTAATGTTTTGCATTTGGATTGTCTTTTATCAGTATTAACGCAAACACTATAACAAATTGTCATTAATGTTTTTAAGTTATGTTTTTTATTGCACTAAAACTAATCATCCTATTTTAAAATCTCTTACAGATTCTATTCATATTTTTAATGATTATTTTGTGGAAAATTTTCACAGCTCACTTTGACAGCAATTACAAAAATTGAATATAGTGGAACAAATTATTCGAGAAGCACGAATAATCGATCAGATGCGCAGTGCCAATTCTTTCATGAATGTGTTTGCTAAGAATCATAATATTAGATATTCAGCAAAACAGCTAGAATATCTTGAGAAGTGTACTGCAATTTTTCTTTTGAATTTGTTCACAGATGTCTATCGAAATCTTGTCAGTCAAAAGTTATTTTGTCCAACATACGTTCGAAACCTAAAATATATGAGCTTCCAACACTTAAAGCTCAAGTTGATATAAAAATATTGTCAATGGCTTGGAATACATCACGTTCTTCACAAAAAGATAGATTCTATGACTTAGAAGACTGTATGGATTCTTGTGAGGTAGGTTGTGTTCTGATTTGTGGACATGCTTATCATTTCGAGTGTTTTTTATTTAAACTAGAAAGTCGATGCTGATATTGTATCGAGTATCTTATAAGTGGAATTGAAACAAATTGTAAAGCTTTTCAAAAATCTTTGCATTCGTCGGGTACGCGAGCAAAAGATAAGAATATAGACGAAATGGATATTGCTGAACCTAGTGTTGATCCTAATACTCGTGATGAAGACTTCTTATTAGATGGAAATATAGATCATGATAATGTGGATTTGCTTTTTAAAAGGGTCATAAATGCTTTAACAAGTGTACAATTTACAATTTGAAGATTTTATTATTACAAAATTCAATAAAATCAAGATATTTTATAAATGAATAATAAAAGTCAATTTATTGAAATTTTTTTTATTAAATATCTTTTTATTGAGCTAAATCATGTTTAATTTGTTCTTTAATTAACTATCCTTTGATTAACTATCGTTTGATTAACTATCATTTGATTAATTATTTCATTATTAAATCACGTGATTTAATCAACCAATAAAATTTCAGCAATGATAAAAATTGATCTGCAAAAATTAGCCAATCACAACGAAAGCCTGCTATGTTTCGCTATGGTCTATTTAAAATCGGCAATAAATAATTTAAAAATTTCCATCTAAAATTTTCTGGTTTCACGCAAATTCATGAAACTCGATCAGGAGATTTATGAAAACAATGGTTTCGAATATTTATAATTTATTCAAGTCGTGATTCATTATTTCACGATAAAGGAAAAATAATAAAAAATTAAATCAACTAATGAAAATTTGTTAATTCTATCGCTTTTTATTTCTTGAAGCCTGACGTCTAGCTTTTCCAGGACGCGTCTTCGTAACGTTCTTCTTTGGTTTAAATGATGTTGCCTTCAAAAATAAATAAAATAAAATAAATAAAAAATAAAAAAATAGCCTTAGAGTTCTTTTTCGAATATATATATATATTTCAATATCTTACTTTTTTTATAGATTTTCCCCCTCCACCAAACACTGTTAGATCACCAGAGGATTCGGCTGTGTTTGTTTTAGCATGACGCTTCTTTCCTCCAAATCCAAATTTACTATCCTTCTCATCCGCGATAAATTATGAAGATTAGAAACAAAATTCCAAAATTTAAAGAACGATTAAAATTTAAAACTACCTTATAGGTGCGTTTAGATTTTTTGCTAGTCTTTTGCTTTTTATTAGGAGGTCTATTATCTTCAGCAGCAGCTTCTTCAAGAGCAATTTCAAAATCATCATCCACAGCAGTATCTTCAACACCTTTCCTTTCTACATAATAAATAATTAAACAACTAAAACCTTTACACTTAAAAACAATTTCATCATGACATACTTTTTTTCATAGCTTTAATTTTTTCTAAATCTTCCCTTTTTTGTTTTTGACGCTCTTGTAAACGTTCAATTTGAACTATTTTACTAAATTTTTTTAATTCACGTTGACGTTTAGCATCTTCGCTTACTTTGATCATTTGTTCTTCATTAATTAATCTTTGACGTACTTTTGTCATATGTTCATCGGATTTTACCATTTCAGCAAAATAATCATCCGGTCTAGAAAACATTACTCCTGATTCTATGACTTTTTTGCGTCCTTTTGTAGCAGCTTCAAGTGCTTGCTTATAACTGGAATAAGAAACTTTTTCAGTTATATCTTGGGTTCTTTTTTTTTATTTTAATAATAATCAAACATAAATGACAAAAGAATATAAATTTTCATCAAATAATTACAAAGCTAATTCACGCTCTACATCGTTATTGATGTCTTTGATGACTATCGGTTCTAAAGAAGTTATCACTTGACTCTCAATCCATGGTACATCAAGTTTAATTTCTTGTTGGATTTTTTTTAATGCTGACTTGACAATATCATATAGGAAACAATTAGATCAACTTGGAAACGAGTATAAAAGGTTATAAAATTCAAATAAACACGATACCTTATTATTTATTGTTACATGTTGCTGAGGTATGATATCTTCGTCAATTTCTTGGTCAGATAAATTGTCTAATGCAACTTCTTCACCGTCTTCGCCTTCTTCCTCAGAGGAAACCGAATCAGATTCATCAGATCCTTGTTTGTATTGAGTAACTAGATCCTCCTCCTCTTCTGAATCTTGTCTAGTATTTTCCTGTTCAGATGACTCTGATCCTTCTTCTGGTTTCATTTTATTTATAAAATTTTTAAAAAAATTTTTTTTTTTTTTGTTTGATAATTTTATAACACGTGTCCTTCGCCGATCAATTGAGTAATGAGCGAATGAAAAATACGTGCTATGATTTTTACTGCCATATTAAGTAATTTTCAGATTTCGACTGCCTGATGATCATCAGATTTTAAGTATTTGATTGGTTAATTAATAACGCGTGATTTTTACATTTTTCACAGATTAATCTTATAATGGTGAAAAAGAAAAATGAAGGTCTGTGTTCTGTATTTACTTGAAGGTTAGGCAGCAGTTATGTCATATTCATTATATGAATATTGTTGAATCTCGTTACCAAAGGTCTAAAGCAATGAATTAAATCGAGCCATAACAACAAATGGTAAATATATTAATTATTTTTAATGAAAATTATTGATTAATACTTTTTTTTTCAGAACCAACAAATAATTATATATTTATTGAACAAATTACAATACTTACAAAAGTATTATATCAAAATTGTTTTAACAAATGATTGAGGAAGCCGATTTACGATTACAGGGTTTTTTTAATTAAATATCAATGGCATTAATTTCTAACGCTAATAATAGATCTATGTATATTAAAATTGAAGCAAAAAAATCAGTATAGCTGGAATGCAAAATAAATTTGTCAATGATTTTAAATTAGAAATTGGATTGTATTTATCAGCATTAGGAGCATCACGAGTTGCAATTGATACAATAAATAGCATTAAACTTTCTTCTTATTATGTAACAATTAATAATTATAAAAAAAAATATAAATGAACATCTAATAAATATCAGAGAATTTTTTTTGAACAGGTAGGTATATCTTTATATAATATATGTAAATTTTTTTGTAAAATTATATTTAATTAAATATACAAATAAAATTTATAAATATTTTTATTGAATTTAATATATTTGTTAAATAATTTTAATATATCTATAATTTGGATGATTATTATGACATACATGAAAATGAAAACCTGTGTTCTTATTTACTACTAAACATATGGTTACATGCATTTGCAAACAAGTTTTAACATATACACCAATTCCTATTGTTCATAATAATATTTTAATTCATAATCCAGTAAATATTGATACAAACAATATATATTTTTGATTAATACATCAGTATCATGGAATTTTTATTACTTATACTAATCATAAAAAATTATGGCTTACTAAAGAGTTAGATATTGGAAAATTTGATTAAACTGATTTGTTTACAGTACATAACTATGATGATTCAATTGATAAAAGAAAAAAAGAAAGATCAATGAAAAGAGTACAATTAGTTGGATTTTAAAAAAGAAATTTACATTTTATAGATGATTATATAATAGCATTACAAATGATTTTAAAATATTGATAAAGATATTAATCACTTATCTGGTAAAATTGCTTCATTAATAGCAGATTGATCTGGTTAATTATTTATTCACAAAGCAATTACAAACTTTCATAAATAAACTCTATACCAGCTGGAATAAATTCCTTTATTCCAATTTTTAGGACCTTTATATGTTTTTTTAAATAGTAAGAAGCATATATTATTAATATATAATAATTTTTTTCAAAAATTATTTTATTTTATATTTGGTAAAAAAAGATACTAGCAAAAAAACCCAAACTATGAAAATTAATTTGCTTCTTAACCTAACATATAATAAATGGTGTAAAATTAGAGATATAATTTTAAAAAAATTTGGAAATATTTGTAAAGATATTAAATATTGTATAGCTATTGATCTTTTGAATAATGTGATTCTAGTAACTTTGAATATTTATTCTATTCTTTTTTGATTTGATTCATTTGATGAATATATAGAAACTATTTTTTAAATTTGAACATTTGCCTTTTGATAAAAAAGACATAATTATAACAAAGTTTTATTAGCATTTCTCTCAAATGTTTTTATTAGCAAGATATAAATTATCCTTTTACAAAAGCTATAAAATTATTTTTGGTAAATTTTAATGATTATTATGTTGAAAATATATATAGTAAAATAAGGGCTCATACATTTGTAAACAACAATACTGATAATATTATTAAATAAGCTTATCTGATTGGTATATACTTTAATTTGATTTATTTTATATGTTAATAATTATTTATATTTATTAAACTAATTTAATTAGATACGTGATATTAGAGTTCCTTAAAATTGAATCAAATCAAATATTTAAGCAATTTGAATTTGATTTGATTTTTTCAAATCAAATCAAATCAAATCGAATTGAACTCAAATATTTGATCAAATCAATTTGAATTGATTTGAATTTGATCGAATCGAATCAAATTGAATCAAATATTTGTCAAATCAAATCAAATTAAATCAAATATTTGATC